TTTAGACGATGATCCTATGATGATTATATAAATAAGAAATGATAGTGACATATTAGTGATATAGTAAAACACCTTAAATATTATGAAATATCGTGAGTGATTATATTCATAAACTACTACATATTTTAAACTGATTTTTATTAAAGCTTAAATGACATGTATATTGTTTTATTTTTATTATGATATTGTAGTTTAAGAGTGTGAAGATTCACTGGCTTTTCTTATTTCACTGTTATTTTAAACTAACATTTAATATTTAACTAAGTGATTAAAATATGTGTGATATACAAAAAAATGTTTATAGAAGATACGAATAATCAGTAATAAAGTAAATTTAATTGTACTGATTTAATTTACTTTCTTTAATGATGCTTTTATTAATTTAAATGTTATAGAAAAATGAATATAAAAAATTTTAAGTTTCACTGTCTGACCGTTTGTTCTCACCTTGATTAATTTTAAGCCTTGGGAAGAGTCATGACAACGAAATCCAGCAACGACAACCGATGCTTATCACCTTCCAGGGAAGGCAATCCGAATGAATCACTTGTAACCATAACAGCGACTTGTTAGATCAAATAAATGAAGTGAGGGTTTATTTGGTACAACTTATTTGTTGCGGTGCATTTTAAAAACACAGGCGGAGGCATTTGATTTGGGCATGTGGGGTGTGTTTTGCAATAATTTGTGAAAAACTTTATCAAATGTGATCGCGGGTTTGACCTCGCGGCCCACGTACCTGTGAAATATTTTACGGGTCTACCCTCTTGGCTTCATCTGCCCTCATCCCATCCCAGAGAGCAGAGTTGCAGAGGAGAATAAGATCGAAGGATATGCTTGCTCGCCACTTGTCGCACATTGCCTCGCTCGTCATTGCAGGCCAAAGCCTCATCTACATCACTCCCGATCTCCTGGTTTCGCCCAAAACCAATGTCTTTGTGAATGAAACCTTGCAATATAGTTGAGATTAGAGCTATAGGGAAGGCCGCCATGGGATCACGACATACAAAGACCAGCGATACTCTCATCTTTCTCATCCTTCTGCTCCGGTCCTACCAGAAACCATCGGGGAAGATAAACCTGTTCACGCCATCCTTCCAAATGTGGATATTAGAATTTTGGATTCCAGTGTGGCATTTCTTCCTAGCTAGTTGACATTTTTGCTATTATTAGAAAATTAAGGCATATTTATATTAGCATTGATTTTCTTCATGTGAATTTGGTGACAAGATTTGTTTTATTATTTATTTTATTTTTAGATTTTTATATTATTTTTGTACTATTATGAAGTGGTTTTTTTTTTAATTATCAAATATATAACCATGACAGTTTATTACAAACAGCACAACTACACAAGAGCAGAATAATCATTTGTCCAGAAACAGTTACAAATCAATTGTTTTTCAAACACACAAATCAAATAGTCAGTCAGCTCATCCGGATCAACTGTTGATCAACAGCTCATCTGGATCAGCTTATCTGAATAAGCTGAATAAGCTGCAACTGCCCCAAACAGACCATGAATCCCTTCCACGATGCAGATTCCATAGATTAAGAACCTTTACCTTGAAGACTTAAAATGAAATATCCAAGAAGTCAGAGTTTCAACATAAAGATAAATTTACCATTTTTTGACGTCACATGAATCCAAACGAGTTTATCGAGTGGCTCTGGACCTTGGAATGTCTTTAAGTGTCAAAACGTCCGACTGGATGACATGACAAAACTAGTCACCAACAAGTTAAAGAATAACGCAATATTTTGGCGGCAAAATTTGAAATACCTATGCAAACGTGAAGGAAAACATAAGATCACTATTTTGTCTGTAATAAAATGGAAGATGCGGCACCAATACTTACCAATTCGCCATATACCAGATGTTCAAACCCCATTTTCAAAAGTATAAATACCACATCACCGAGAACCACCACATATTACAGGCAAGGTTCAACCACAGGATTTTACGGCCAAAGTACACAGAGAAAAATCCAAGCCGATCCTGCCTGAGAAGGAACTAGTTTTGAGTGGAAAACAGGTGGTACCAACCAGCATTCCTGAATCTATCCCTATCAGGAAGTGTTTCAAGTGTCACTAATTTGGGCATATTGAATCAAATTGTACAATGAGAAGAACAATCTCATTCACTGATCGGGAAGCAATTGAAGAAAAGAAAAATACACAGTAGACATGAAAAAGAGAGATGACACAAAAGAGTACCAGTTGTCGGCCAACGAGAAAGAAATGCGAACGATTCCAGTTGAACCCAGAAAAGAGATTCCAAATAAGATGACAGTAGCTGTTCTAAAAGGTAATGAGTATGATGTAATAGGCATTTATGCAGAATATAAGGTTATGGTGCCTTGAACTATATTTCTACAGGCGTTCGGAGGAGCATCAACGGGATTGACAGTGGATATCCTAAAGGGCTGTGAGTTTGAGGATCTAATATATGAACACAGGGCAACTTCAAATAAGATCTCAAACTTTTTAGATATATATCCATACCTCTTGAGTTGCCCCTACTAAGAGAGGTCCAACTCGTCAAAGATGAGAAGATTTTGAGTTATTTCTGAAAGATTATATAAAGTTATTCAAATATTAGATTTAGTTAAGTAGTGTGCCCACCATAAATGTCCAAACAAGAGGGACGAACCACAGCTTTTAAAATTATTTTAGGAAATTAATGGGGAAGAAAATTCTTCAATGAGAACTAGTGAAGAAGAATTCCCTCCTGAGTGGTTACTAGTAGGAGTGATGCAAAATTTCACAAATTTCATCCCAAAGTTAATTTTTCCTCATATAATTGTTTATCAGGTACATTTTGCTGAGTAAGAGATGCGAAAGAAGAAGGTTTCATACTTGAAAGCTTGATTTACAATGTGGAATGTTACAATATACAATTTTGTTACAATGTGGAATGTTACAAGGCTATATTCCGCTCCAGGTCAGGATGTGTCAAAAGAGGATGCATGTTTATTCTATCAATATGTATTGTGGAATGTCAGTGCCTACAAGATTGACTTGTCAGGAGATTATTTCATTCTCGATACCTTCAACAAAGCCATCATTACTACTACGAGGAAATAGAAGCTTCGACAGATGAGGTCAAAGCTCTCCATAGTCCGAGAGACTAACGTGGGCGGGTGAATAAAGCCTCGGATGTGCGAATAATGTCGGAGGCTGGCAAATAACACAGCGAGCTCGCTGATAACGTTGCAGGCTTGGTGTAGAGACAGTAATGGGCTTCTCCCGAGATGTCCTTCGTCTGTACCGAACTTGTCCAGACCTGAGAGGGTCGATCGCCTCTCCCACGAGGAATTGGCGCCTCCTTTCTATAGGGGGATTCAATCCTAGTTATTTAGGGCTTATATATGTGATTCCTGTTATTAGTTTCTAAGTTTTTCGGGTGAGTTTGTTTAGTACAGCCATAGACATCCGTTCCTCCCTTCGAGTGATGTATATGAGAGATTGAATAGTGCTCCGACTGTATTTCTCTCCCGATGTGGAGATTATCTTCCGTATCCCCTTTCACATCCTCCCCACATCGCTCCTGGTCGCCGTATCTTGCTGTAGCCACCCGCAACAGTAGTCCGATTGTTGTTTTCTATAGTTCAAGCCGCCATCAATGCCTTCCCCTCCCTCCTCTTTGCTGTCATCGCAGTTCCAGCCTTCCACGTTCACAACCGCCACTGTTCCCTCCCTCACTTCACTATTTTGATCGCTGCCCAACCATCCATAACGCGTATGTCATATGGAAAAAAGTACACCTGCTATTTTCTTGTTGTCCTTTGATCGTTTCAACCTTCACAGCCGCCACTGTTCCATCCCTCGCTTCACTCTTTCGACCGCTGCCCAGCCATCCATAACTTTTCTGTCTAGAAAAAAGCATGCCTGCTATTTTCTTGCTGTCCCCTGGCCGTTCCAGCCTTTCCCATCATGCCTCGCTTCTCTGCTTGCTGCCCTCACTGTTCCAACCCTCCACCTCGCTGCCAATGCGATTCCATCCCCTCTTCTTGCTCTTCCAACCACCTAAAACTCATTTCAGCCATCTATATTCGGTCCTAAACCACCTAGCAGACCTCCACCACACATGTATCGAGCTCTAGTGAGAGTATACGTTGTACTTGTTGCTATTTCTCTTTCAAGTGTGTTTGATTGCAACCGCCTATTTACTTTCAATAATAATATTTGATTTTTCTATTGTGGCTTGGATTAACTACGATATCACATCTGGAAATAATTTATCTGTGTGAAGGCCTATCCATCAAATACAGCGTGACAAATTTAACCATGAACACTGATTGGCTCCTTCTAGTGAATTGCCAATGTTATAAACCTTTCCATACCAGGGCCTCTGCCATTTTGACCCCATAAAGATTTTAATCTATTGATAAGAAGAAATAAAAGAAAACAATAAACACAGCTCATTAATCTTTGGTGTAATGACTATGGTGTATAGTTCAAATATATTAGATGATGCCCAATTTACCTGAATTTATCTAACAACTACCTAAAAACTTATTGTTCATCTCTTTCTAGTTCCTCAACTACCTAAACCTTAGAGCTTTAGATGCTCCAAAATAATGTTATTAGAGCTCGAGCCCAGATAATTAAAATGCACGCAGCAACAGTTCATAGTTCTAACAGGGGTTCTAAGGAAATAATGTTGCTAGCGTTAGCCAAGTAAGCATTTATTACAAACTTCAAAGCAATTTATATGCTTAATCACATGTCTATCATTACTGAACTGCACACCTTCTTATAGAACAAAAATTTCAAAAATTAAAAAAAAATTAAACCTCCTAGAAGTTCATGAAAGAAATTATGAATGTTGAAATGTGCGGTCAATTCCAAAAAATAGAACTAATAACAAGCTCAACACTTTTATCTGAAAAATTATTGTCACTTCAAAGAAAAGAAATACTAAAGACAAGTGTTCTTCTCCCCAAGAGATGCATCAGAAAATTTGGAAACTTGAGAAGAGTAATATCATCCCTTACCACTGAGGGATCTTCTAATGCCTCCGTTGCCCATAAGGGTCTATCGTACTTTTCACGTCCCATGAAGGTCCTAATAGGATCCTGCAATTGAGAAGTTTTATATCATCTATGAAAATGAAATATGCATAACCTGAACAACACTATTAAATTGCTACTAAAAAATCTAAATTTGTAAATTTAATGTAGAATTAGCATTTTAGGGCATTATTTTTTTTCAATTGACTAAGAAGTATTTACTCATAAGCTTATAGAAGATTAAAGGCACATCAACAGCTCATCATCATGAACAGTAGTCAGTAGCAAGAAAATGACAATATGGTAAAACAACTGGTAGCTAAACTACCTTTACTAAAAGTTAACTACATAGGCACAAATATTAACGTTCGAACATGATTAAGAATTACATTTTTAAATGAATAATTGATTCCTAGACATAAAACTCCAATTTTCTAATGCAATGAACAAGAATACTGCATGCATGAAGAGTGAATTTAAAAATTCAGCAGCTAAACAAAATTTTTTTGAAGCTATAGTTGTATTTCCAGATTGTTTTGCATGGAACATGCAAAAGCAAAAATTCATCAAAGAAAATTAAGCATTATGCATGAGCTATAACTGGTGTTCCACATCATTATTATTCATAGTTATCTATAATCATACATGATACTTCTCATGCAAAGTCTCATCTCAAATTTCTAAGCATAAAATAATTTGTAAGAGAGAGTATCATAAGATCTAATAGCATGCGGACAACCCGTGTCATTCATATCTAGGAAAGTGTTCGGATACCGGAATTAACCCAAATTATAATAGAAGAAGTAAATATTATTACTGAAGACAAATAGACGGTTACACCAACACACTTGAAAGGAAAAATATAATACACGACACCCGAAAATCTGAAATAGCAACAAATATGACACAAATACTCAACTAGAGTGGATCTCAGGGTAGTGGTGGTGATCAGCGAGAGTTTGGCTTTTCAGAGAGGTAGCAAAGAGTGAGTGAAGGCTGGAAGGCGCGGCGGCAGCAAAGGATGAGAACAACAGCAGCGAAGGAGAGGAGTTGCGGCAAGAGCAACAAGCTAGAAGGAGAGGAATAGAAGGTTGGGCGGCTGGAACGGCATGAAAAAGTTGTTTCGGGCGGCTGCGGTGAGGTTGAATCTCGGCGGAAGCGACAAGGGATGCGCGGGTACTATACGACAGCCAGGGAATGATTGTCTAGGGTAGCGGTAGCGAGGACGAGTAGTTGGAATGGAGAAATTGCAGGGAAAGCAATTAGGTGCAGCTGTTTGGGGACTGCTGCGAAAATAAAGGTAGGCCAAGAGCGACATGGAGAAGATGCAGTAGTGAATGGGAAAGATAAACACCACATGGAAACCAGGATACAGTCGAAGCACTACCTAAAATCCTAGGATACAGCCCTCGCATGGAAGAAGAGACGTTCGTGGTCGTCTCAATACAAAACACATCAAAAATTAATTTTCATGCCCTGATAAAACACAAATAATGACTAAAAAGAAACTATATGAAATGAGAACACTTGCTACAAGGTGGAAAGAAATTTGAACGACTGTCGTTCGGTTCAGTTCGGTTCAACGCCTCTAGCGCGATCGGTGAGCAACATTGGTGAGAGGAGGGGGGGGGGGGGGGGGTATGGTTGGATAGAGCTGATGCTAGAAACCCTCAAGTATAAACAGAATTATATTAGCTCTAATACTAAATGATATTGAAGTTAACCCAAATCATGATTAAAAAAAATAAATATTATTACTGAAGGCAAATAGGTATTTACAACAAACACAATTGAAATAAAAAATACAACATGACACCCGAAAACTTGAAATGGCAACGAACACGACACAAATACTCAAACTAGAGTGGACCTCAGGGTGTTGGTGGTAGTGGTCGGCAATGGTTAGCAAAGAGTGGATGAATGTTAAAAGACATGGCGGCAACAAAGGATGAGGATGACGGCAGCGAAAGAGAGAAGTTAGCAAGGGCAGCAAGCTGAAAGCAGAGGAAAGGATGGTTGGGCAAATGAGGAAGGGGATAGAGAAATAAACACCACATAACCAAGATACAGTTGAAGCACAACTTGGAATCCTATGATACAACCCTCAAAGTGAAGAAGAGATGTCGGCGCTGTCTCGAAACAAAACACATAAAAAACTAACTTCCAAACCCTAATATAATAAACATATAGGAAATGGCTAAAATGGAATGAAAGGAAATAAGAAAGCTTGCTAAAATTGGAAAGAAAATGAACAATTGTCGTTCGGTTTGGTTCAGAGTCTCTTGCGCAGCCCGTGAGTTGTTTTGTATCAAGTTTTGTATTGTATGTATGAATATTTACATGCATAATACTCAATTCTTATGTATTTATATATCCAACACCTAAATTTCAATTTTAACATATATGCCACCTTCCGTATGCATGAAAATAAGTATTTCACCTATTAAAAGTTATAAATGTGGTATATTTTTATGCGATATGAAAGATTTGGGTGGAAGAAATGTCGAAGTAAAATTTATGTGTTAGATATGTAAATATAAGAATTGGTTGGCATGCATGTAAATGCCCATTGTATGTAATAATGCTAACAAGTAGTTAAGGCTGCATTCAGGATTCGCTAAATATTGGAAGGAGAAAAAGGGGGACAGGATATCCTCACCAATTCCCATTAGGGAAATTGGCACATTGCATGCAATGCATTCTTGTGTAATGTGAAAACACATAAAACATGGCATAGAATGTCTCAAAATATGCATGTTTTCTCATATATTTCATGGCAAATATCTTCATAGACTAAGATTTATCTGTAAAATTATTTTATGCATTGGAAATTTTGTGATGCAGCTTCTATCACAATATTTATGCCGTTTACATGTAAATGCCTTTTTTTTTTGTCTTAGGATGTACAGAAAATGGCTTCAATATTCATGTATTATCTGCAAATTGAAATCACATGATTTCTTATCGTTAAATATAATAGAAAAAATTACAAACAACATTTTTCTAGCGCAACAGCACAACTATTCATCATCCTCAAACAACAAAAGGGCAATCAACCTAAGAAGAAAAAAAAAAAAAAGTAAACGCAAATCATTGTTCATATCATATTGATTTTATCTCTAATTAAATGAGCACATGAACCTGGACTACTTTTTTAGCTGCACAATGAAAATAGCCGGTAATTTAATTTACCTTGTACTTGACAGAAATAGAGTAATATTCTAATGAACGGTTTCCCTCTCGCAGCTCTAAAATATCACGCGCAAGTTGTCTTGCCGTAGCTTCCACTGAAGGGCTACTAATGCATTCAAAATCATTACACAGTTCACCGAAGTCCATTGCATCAACTATCTTATCAGATTCTGATCTTTCATTCATCAAAACAGTGCTTGCCTTCACATCTTTCGACTCATCCAGAACTGTCAAGAGCATATCTCACTTAGAAAATTAATCTTAATGATGTTTTGCCAATCTGACTGCCAAATTTGATATGAATTTAACACGATGCCGTAAACAATAATGCGAACAGCCTAATTGAACTACTGGAAGCCAAATCTCTAAAAAATTCCCAGTAAAAACAACAGGAAAGAGGAAAATACACAGATGAATGCTCTACCGTGCAGTTTTAGAGGGTGACGATGGCGAGAGGGAGTGGTTCTGGGTTGGAATCGGCGCTGAGACAGCCGGCGATGATGAGGAGCATTGCCGGCGCCGCCGCTCTGGCAGAAGGCGGTGGTCCACGAGAGAGCGTTCATCGTGAAATCTCATTCTGACGAATGCGCGCGGTCAGTGGGCTCCAACTATAAAACGAGAGCGATTTCCCCTCGGCTAAGAGAAGCAGAGGTAACCCTTGCATCCATGTGGATAAGGTGACGGGCATGCAGGTAGAAGTTTAAGCTGGAAATTTACATACACGTCAGCAATTTATAAGTAATTACATAGGAAACATCTAACATTTGATATTTGCATTTAACACACTTCGTTTTCGTACTTTGTATTCTTATAATAAGTTAATAATAGATGTATTTTCAATTTTGATATTAATGATTTGTAATTCTCATATTTGTTGTGTCGTGAGACTAAATTATTTTAGTTGTGTTGTATACCCGGCTTGTTGGTTGACATTCTCGGTATATGATCTCTCAAGTCAGGAGTTTGAATCCCCTCGAGCGACGTGAGTCTTAAGAAGATGATGCTTGAATTGTTAGGCATATTAGGAGTAATTGGAGGCTCTTATAATAATCTTTAATCAGTTCTTATATATATATCACTTAAGTTCTAATGTAGAGCAACTCAACAATTAAGACAATAAAAAGCTAAAAGCATAATGGCCATCATTAGGATTCAAGTTGTGGATGTTAATGGAGTAATTGATCAGGTGATGGATTTATTCTTGAAAATGTTGTATGGCTATGTGATATGAGAAATTAATTCCGAATATGAAATGTCCTCGAGAGTGTGAGGTTGATATAACCGTGTTTGAATGGTAGTAAGAGGCTGACAAGTAGTTGGTGAGTTATCGATATAATAAGTTATGATTTGGAGTGATAGCTCTTAGGGCCGACTTCGAGAGGTATTTTAGAATAGTGTTTTCTAATGATGAAGCACGCCATGACGACGAGCAATTTAATAAATAGCAAAAATCAGAGATGGATTAAGAATAAGAGAACTAATTCGTTTGATTCGATACATTTATCTCATATGTTGGTCAAAATGATGATTGAAAATTTTTTATTTTTATAGCCTAAGAAAACTATAGTAATGTAATTATTTGTTGTTAAATATCTTTCATAGAGATGGTGGATTTAGGCATACTGTGAAATTAAAGATTAATTCCTATGAAAAAAAATATATTATAAACTGACAAAAAGCATAAACATAAGTAGATGGAGGATGGCAAATGAAGCATCGTTAATATTATTAAGTACAAAAATTGAAGAACAATATTTTTGATATTTACTAAAAAAAATATCATTTAGGAACTTATAACTCGATTATCAACAAGTGCTTCTAAACATAAGATCAAGGATTGTCCCTTAAAAGTCGAGAGCGATCCATTTTGACAATTGTAAGCGAAAATTTTCAAATTTTGTTTTAGGTGTTTAACATCTTTAGTGCAAACCAGTAAACACATATTTATAAATATCAAGTTGAGATTGTGTTGATATGATCAATAATGCGGATTGTTTTTATTGACACATTTCTAAGATGGGGATGTTATGATTTGCATCTTTGATAATAGAAGAGTGATGGTTCATCATTCTTATATAGTGTGGGTGCAATGAATGACAACCCTTTAAAGAGGGATGATGCCCAATAAGCACATATTTATAAATATCAAGTTGAGATTGTGTTGATGTGGTCAATAATGTGGACAATTCTAAGCGAGAAATGTTATGGTTTGCATGTTCTGATGCTAGAAGAGCGATGATGGTTCATCATTCTTATATGTTGTGGCTGCAATAAATGACAACCCCTTAATAAGGGATGATCAGGATTCAAATGTTAGATAAGTGTTATGTGGACATTACTTTGTTCACTAGATGGTCGCATGATGTATCTAAAATTAATTACAATTCCTATTTGCAAAATATTTTTATTCAAGGAGTGAAATAATATATCACATATGAGATTCAAATGGATATATTGGGAGTTTATCCTATTTGTATGGCTTCAATGAATCGATTGGGCTTAGACTGGATGGAGCAAAGAGTAAGTTTTCTATAAAGTGATTAAAAACTAACTTGGATTTTAAAAGTGACTTAGCTTGCCATTATTGTACTTTTTTCCTCTAAATCATATTTAAAGTCCAACTAGTCAAGCGCTAACTTACCAGCCTTATCAAATTTCAAACATTTTTAGTTCATGGATGGCTATAACTTGATACAAGGAATTATTTATATACTTCTCACTAAAATTTAAAATTTTATTCATAATAGTTTTATAATGATACTTGATCAACCTTGAATGCACATTTATTTCTTATTCTTAATGAGTTCTTATTTGAGAGTCACAGAGATGGTTGAGATAGTATTACTCATAAATTTAGCCCTATTATTCTAGCAAAAAAGAGGAATAGAGTAGATGCAAGTAATGACAACAATAATAGTGGTTATGGTGGTAGATGCCTAAATGATAACTATTATACAAGCAACAAGTATAGAAATAAAATAAACCATGACACAAAATTTTGTATTTATAATAATGACAATGAAAGAAGATAAAGTGGTACTGCTATTATTAGCTCTGACAAACCACTCATTGTTGGTGGTGGTTGAGCAAGTACGAATGGGGATTTCAATGGATAGAATAACATAGAAATTTTGGTCCTTGTTGATGTGTTTAGTAAATAGCATTAGCAATTCCTTAAGAGTTATTTGGTTTTATCCAGCTCTAATCAAATAATATTAACATACATAATTTTTTAACATCACACAAAATTTCAAAATTATTCATCTTTTTATAGTGAACTACACATTTTTATGCACGTGTCTATTTCACAAAAATATTATTAGTATAAATGTCAAAACTTAGGAGTTTTGACACAAATATGATTTAGCATTAGTAAGATTTTGAAAATATATAAATCCTTAATCCCTTAAATTTACTCTATCCCTTTATTTTACTAAAGATGGATTTAAGCTAAATAGAAGTAAAAAATTAGGTTTTTAAATTCGAAAATTCATAAATCCAAAAAACTCATGCATTTTACTCATGATAAATCATATTAAAAAGTGCCATCAAACGCACGCTGATAATACCAAAAATACCGCGGATTAACACCAATAAAACCAGAGATGGCGGAATAATACCGATAGCACAGCGGGTGTTACTCGGTGTTATTTCGCGGTATTATTGGTGTTATCGGTGTTATTCTGCTATGTTATGCAGCAGAATAACACCAATAACACCGCAGACGGAGGAATAAGACTGATAACACAACGGTTGTTATTCCTCGGTGTTATGGGTGTTATTCCGCGGTTTTACACCGCGGAATAATTCCATTAACATCATGAGATATTGAGTATATTTATATTTTTATTTGTTTCTTTTTGAGCCAATTCGAGCCAAACACTAGCAAACAGATATTTTCTCGTGTTCGGCTCGTTTATATTTCGAGCTTAAACTCGATAAACTTAACAAACGAGCCAAACACGAGCTGCTTAACGAGCCGAACATGAGCTGCTTAACGAGCCGAACACGAGCTGTTCACGAACAACGAGCCCAATTGACAGCCCTAAACGCCTCCATTGATGTTATATATGTAAATAAATAAAAATTGAGTGGTATGTATGTAAGCTTCTAAACCTAGATTTCTTTGTACTTAAATTTAATCAATTGATCCTACTTCAAACAAACAACCCCTAAGAGCCGACCCAACCCAAGCAGAGCCGGAACAGCATGCGTCGTTTTGCACAGCAGTTTGTGTTCCATCCAAGCTTCTACTGCACTTCTTCGCGCCATTCCTCCAATAGTAAACTATTCGTCGGAGGTTTGACTGCTTCAGGTCTATCTGCTTACCAGGTATTTGTTATGTTGCCTGACTGCTTTTTTTGCACCAGGTCTGTCGTGGTACGTGGACGAAAGGTCACTGAAAGAGGCCTTTTCTTCATTTGGGGAGGTAACCGAAGGTGATTCTTTGATGCTGTTTCTGTTCCTGCTCTATTTCATCGTACCAGTTAATTGATTGTGTTATGGTATTATCGGCGATCTTCTAAGAAGTGAAAAGATTGTTTTAGTTCATGATGCATCGAAGATTGCATCAAAAAGTAGTTTGGTTTGTTCAATTTTCTAATTTTTACAATAAAAATCATTTGATTTATAGTTAATTCATAATCAGGTCCTTGAAAACGACCAAATATGCATATAAGCAATTATTTTCATTATCATCTTCAAATACAATTTGTAAATTGCATTAACTCTTATTTTGGTTCGATTCATCTAAACTTGAACCTAAGTAATCAAATTAAAGTTCTTTTTGAAAAAGAGTTTGGTTTGATTTTTAATTTTTACAACTGAAATCAATTCATTTTGTTAATTCATAATGAAACCATTCAAACAAACCAAATACGCACCCCTATATATCAGCTATTTGTTTCCCCTGCATCTTCAAATACAATTTTGTAACTTACATTTAAGCAATCTAAGTTTTATCTCTAAGATTAGGTATTTGTATTTGAAAGGCAAGAAATTATTCATCAAAATTTAACCTTATTAATTTAATTATATGGCTTTTGTTCTAATTTTCAATGGCTATGCTCCAATAGCTGACTTGTGTTTTTTTCTTGAATATTATCTGCAACTTAAATGTTATATATACAAAGCGTCAAAGGAATCCAATTTGAATTCTCTGGGAATAAATGTTTGATGAGAATTTTACAAGAAATTTTAAATGGGCCGTTATAAATGAAAGATTATTATAAATGTCTTTTGCTTATGATCTCTGAACTTAATTTTTATTGTTAATACCAAAAAAATTGCTTTTGACATTCAAGCATGAATTTTTTTAATATATATGATGTTTATGAAATCTCTTGTAATCATTGAAAAAGTAATCAACAACAGATAAGGAGCTCTATGGTACTCCATAACACACATGAAAGTTTTGAATTCTTTTTAAATTTAGATATATCACTCTAAAAACTTGGTCTAGTTGTGAAAACTTATAAACTAAAATGTGAATTTATACTTTTGTTGTCCCAATCATTCAATAAAATATTTAGCTTAATAAAGTGTAGTTGCCTAGAATTGATGATTGGGAATATTTTGAGAGATCAAGTGGGAAGAGGAGTGATTACTTGCGTTGAGAATGAAGAAATGTATGCTCAATATGCTGGTTATATTCTCTAAGCAACTATTTTACCTCCTATATATTAATTTTTTATTATCACAAAATTCAATTATCTTCTTTTTTAGGTTTATTTGTATGATTTGAAACACCCACTTAGTAGGGAGGGGTTTTTTTTGGTTCCCCTATTTAAAAATAGTGATTGAGATCTTCCACCCTATGAAGCTTTAATCAACTAGGGGTAATATTATCAAATCTCCGATTGTTCTGGTCGATCACCCTTGTTGACATACTATCTTTCCTTGAAATCCATGGGTCTTACTTTTGTAGGCTAGTAGGAGGAGAGTAAGGCCCTTATAATGTGGATCCTACTATGGTAAAAGAGACAATGGCTTTGTATTGCTCGGGTCAAATACTTCTTTTTCATTCCTTCACTAGAAATGCAAATACCTTAATGTCCATACACTCATCTCAAACCGGATTATTGAACTTTGCGGTCTTCTAGGCCCCAAAATTGATGAATATGCAAATTGAATCATCTATTATAGTTACTGGTAATTCTTCCTAGGAATGGAACACAAGCCCCTATTTTGTTATAAAAGGCAATCACTAATTGGGAAGATACCCAATTTCTCAAGCAAGGGTGGTGATACTACATGATTGGTACTAAAAATGCTCTGTTAAGTAGATAAGATAGAGCGCGGAAATAGTGAAAATACTTTTATAGGAGATGAGATTACCCACTTACTTTTTTGAGAAACTTTTGAACACACATTTAGTATGTCTGAGCTTCATCCTATACTCTCTACGGATGGCGAAGGTCCTGTAATTAATGGAATTTCCTTCTTGTTTCTTTTTGCCTCAAAGTCCATATTGTAAAATATTTTGATCCATTTCTTCTGTACTTGAAAAGAATTGTACATCATCTTTCCATATGTAGCATTTTCATTCATATTGTAACAAATACGGTTTCTTTGCCAATGACATTCAAATTATTTCTTACAGGTGATAGTAGTTCCCATTTGGAATTACCTTTTTTACTTGGGAGCCAATTCTAATTATATCCTCTCCCAAGTTTCAAGACTATAGACTACAAATTTTTTAGCTTTTAATCATAAGCAAGTTCAAAAAAGGCTTCTTTGTATGAAACAAATTTGCCATACTGTTACCAACCCAGCTTATTGGATAATTAATTTTTTTTGTGATAAGATGGGGCACCAACTCTAAACTTATTCAAAAACTACCGAAAAAATGAGATCATTGTAAGTGTCAGAATAGAATTAGGTGTAAATCTTATTGATGCACAGAGGCGTATAAATACCCATAATAGGGTCTACTAGTAAGGAAACAAATAAAAACAGAATAAAAGAAAAATGTAAAAGTAAAGTAAAACAAATCAAAGTGATTAACACAAAAACTGCATATTAATTTTCTAGAGTCGGATGTCAGCCATGTTCAACTTGGATTTGAAATCATTGAAAAATGGTCGAGGAAAGTTCTTTGTGAGAATATCTGCCAGCTGGCCACTAGATGACACAAACGAAACACAAATTTTTTCGTACTCGAGGTTTTTCTTAATGAAGTGACGGTCAATCTCAATATGCTTGGTGTGATCATGCTGGATCGGGTTGTGATCAATTCTAATGGTAGACTTGTTATCACAGAACAACTATAGGGGAGCCGAGACTGTCATACGTAGTTCGTGGAGCATGATGAGTAACCAGAGAGCTTCACAAATTCCCAAGGACATGGACTAAAATTTGGCTTTCACACTGGTTTGAGCAACTATAGACTGCTTTTTGTTTTTTCGCATGACCAGGTTTCCCACACAAATGAGCAGTACCCCGAGATAGATCACCGATCATGGATGGACCTGACACACTCTGCATCTGTGTAAACTGCAATAGAATGAGAGACGTGTCGGAAAAAAAATAAACTTGAGCTCGATGTGTCTTTTAAATTGTTGAGAATCCTGTGGGCATCTTGGAGGTGAGGCTCATAGGAATCATGCATGAATCGACCGACTATCCCAATTGCGTGGTATATGTTTGGGCATGTATGGGCAAGATAGATGAGTTCAACTATAAGACGTCAGTACTGAGTCTTGTTTACAGGAATAACATTGGGAACAACAAAAAGTTTTTCATTGGGATCTATCGAGACAGCGATTGATTTGCACAAGAGAGGATTGTTTTCTGTCAAATGGTAAATCACATATTTTTGCTGAGACAAGCGAATACCCTGAGATGACCGAGTAACTTCCTTGCCTAAGAAGTACCGGAAAGATTCCAAATCCTTCATTTCAAAGGAAGCATCAAGAATTCCTTTCAGAGACTCCAATGTTGGTAGTTAATTACCTGTGAGAACAATATCGTCAACTTAGACAGTAAGAATAATTGTCTGGCCGTTGGAGGAATGTCGAAAGAAATGTGTGCGGTCCGATTGGGCCTGAGTGAATATATGGCCTACCACCACCTTTGTGAATTTCCCGAACCATGTCCGTGGTGATTGTCTTAATCCATAAGAGATTTTCGCATTCTGCATACTTGTCTCTAAGAGGTAGTAGACTTAAACCCTGGAGGAAGAGCCGTGTATACCTCTTCTATAAAATCGTCAATCAGGAACACTTTCTTGACATCAAGTTGGAATGAGGGGTCATTCCAGATTCATTGCAAGGGATAACAGGACCCGAATGGTGTTTAATTTAGCAACTGGAGCAAATGTCTCCTCATAGTCAACTCCGTAGGTCTATGTGTATTCTTTGAAGACCGATCACGTCCTGTTGTGTTTAAAGGATCCATCATATTTAAAATTGATGCTAAAAATTCATCGACATCCCACTGTTTTCTTACCCTGAGAAAGATTAACAATGTCCCAAGTATGGTTCTGTTGAATGACATTCATCTCCTCCATGACGACAACTTTCCAACCTAGTTCTGCTAAGACAACCTCAATAGTAGATGGAAGCTTATGATTGGTCACAACCATAGCAAATGCTTTGTAGGTTGTGGATAATCTGCAAAGAGAGACATACTTTGTCATAGGATAGAGAGAACATGTTTGATTGCGTACCTTGCTAGAACTAATTTTCTCTTTTGGAGTAGGAGCAGTGCTAGGGATGTCATCTGAAGAGGATTCAGGGTCCAACAAGGGGTTAGCAAGCTCCATAGTAGGCGTGTCAGAATGAGTGTGTCCACTGTAGACACGAGAGTGGGAGGATGTGCTGGTGGAACCAATAGGACATATAGTTCCTTGGTGGTAGAAAACAAGTGAAACAAAAGAAACAGAGAGTTCCTCGATGGTAGGTGACGTGGGGAAAACATCCATAGAAGTAGAATAAGAAATAGTGTCCAAGAACTTTAGCGCCCCCTCATTTGTAGCCAAGTTAAGAAAGTGTGCAACAGTTTCAAAAAAGGAGACATCAACACTCACATAAACCTTATTTATGACCTGGGATCAAGACACTGATATCCCTTTTGAATGACAGAGTATCCAAGAAAAACACATTTTATTGGCCTGGGATCAAGTTTAGTTCGAGTTGGGGCTGTGTTCCAAACAAAGGCTGTACACTAAAAAATTTTGAGATCTAAAGTGGAAAAAAATTGATTGTTAGGAAAGCACCATCTCAAGACGGCTAAAGAGGTACATAAGTTGCGAATTTTTTAGGGAATTTTATTGATGAGATAAGTGGCGATAAGAATGACCTCATTCTATAAACGGTTTGGGACATTATAGGGAAATATAATGAAGCGAGTAACGTCGAGAAAATGTCAATTTTCTCTCTCGACTACCTCATTTTGTTGATGAACGTCGATACATGAGTTATGATGAATGATGTCCTTA